ACTTGCCACGCGTTAGAGGGGACTGTCCAGCCCTTGGGGTGTAGATCACGAAATTCGTATCCATGTACCGTACTCGCGGTCTTACAGAGGCACCAGTCCCATTTAGTAGAGATGACATCTAGCTTCTGCAGTGATGACGGTATCCACAAAGATGCTGGACAGTTCACCTACCTCATCGACCTACGAATGGTCGAGTCAAGCATTTCGTCCTCAGCCAGCAAAAAGCGATGAAAGACTATGGTATCGTCTTCATCGTCTGGCTAAACTTGCCCCAAAAACTGTTGGCCATGAGTTGGCCATGGTTGCGGCGGTCAGAATTTTTTCGATGCGGTCAGGGTTCGAGACAGATACTCGCGAAGGCGGGTAGCATGGAGCTCGGGATCTTCTCCAATTTGTCGGGAGGGCCAGCCATCACATTGTACTTTGCCTCTGATGGTTGTGTTCTCGACTCTCGCATGGTATAAAATCCCACATCTCGTGATACCTTTACTCGTGGGCCAACTTGAGTTCCTCGCTCCATCATGTGCCCGATAAATTGTCACTCTTTTTCTGGGTTGGGGCATTTGCGGGACACTGTTCGTTCCAGGGATGTTGTAGCTGCTCGTCCACGGACATGTGGCACAAGGCAAACGACAGCTTGTTGGTTTTACGCATAAATAGAACGGGCTCGAAAAGGTCACGATGGGGTTGAACGCGGCACTGGGCCAGACCATAGGTCATGACCACCACTTGCGCCCACTTCTCCAGTGTGCTGCTTCGTCTCAGTGAAGGGATGGCCGACCGGGAAAGGTCTGGTCTTCCTGAATCGTCAAAGTGAATCTCTTCCTTTCCACCAATTGTTAATAATCGTATGGGTTTGTGCGGCCCCCGAAGTAGGTGTCGAGAGGATCCAGCCGTGTGGTTCGTCATCCCAGGCATGGTGGACACCGGCATCGCGTTGCGTGCTTAGTGTCCCGATGCGACTCGCATTCCCACTTTTGCTGGCTGAGTTAGCCCTGACATGTTTGTGTCCTCATTACGCAGCGTCTAGCTACATGAAATATCGTTGGGTGCAAACGTCTTTCCCCATGAACGAATTCGTAAAAAAATGTTTGGCTACGCTAACGGTACGACTCCAGCTTAATTAAACAGGTGAGTGATTTAAACGGTGGTCTTCGATCCCTTCAGAACAAATGGGTTATTTTCTTAAGAAACTGTGATGTTGCGTCGGTGCCTGTGTGAGGCACAATAATGTGGTTTATGTCCTAAGTTAGTAGAGTAAATTGGCTAACATTAAGAGTTAATCCTTAAGGATTGTTTATCACAAGAGGAACGCGTAAAACCTTTGATCCTTAGGATTGAGCTCCGTCAAGCATGCCTTTCATCATAGGTTTTATTTTCCTTAGGCTCAGCATTAAGAACTAGAAAAGGCATTGTCTTTTGAAACGCTTGTTCTGCTCTACTCTGGCCACTAAGAGACAACGATGGCCATGTAAAAAGACGGTTGGCGTGCTAGCACAACTTTTCTAGCGCCTTTGAAGTGATTTGTCTTGTCTGCGTTTTTTCTTATTTGGAGGATTTTAAAGAGTTGCCTGAGCGGATCTTTCTGTTAAAGGTACTACCTTTTACCTGGAGGACAGCTTTTGTTTAGTGTTTATGATTTTCTTATGAAGTTTTTTTTGCTTATGATTTGATCTCTGAGCGTTTTATACATGGTTAGCTTCCATATTATACTCCGAAAAACACATGATCTTACTACCAACTCAACTAACTATCATCCTTTTTCAAGGTCATATGCTCGAAAATGTAATATTATGCTGGGCAAATTTTAGTAGACCCATCAGTCCTTAGGTTTTAAGAAAAAAAAATGACTGTTACTTTATTTGAAACACGAAAAGTTGCAGTTTCCACTGTTATTATTATCCTCTTGCGTTTCCTGAGCTTTAACGGGAATAAACTCCTTTTGGTGAAATAACAAATAGAGCATTGTCAAATGCTTTTAACAAATACCTCATTACATTTTACTACTGTTCTCAGCAAATAAACAAATAATTTAACCAATAAATTATAAAACAATAAATAAAACTATCCTCTTTACCTATCGTCTGTGTTTACTGAAAAAATATAAAATGCTTTCTCAGAATATGTTATTTAATTGATAGAGAAATTTTACATTTATCAAAACGTTTGTGTTATTTTATTCAGTTGATTACTATTAATTGCTGTACATTAGGGACAATATAAATAGGATAATGAGCGAGCGCCTAGTGCTTCTGTCCGTGGAAGCACGAAGGTCTGAAATGGATGCCTAAGTAACCTTTCTTTAGAAAAACTGAACTACAACAATGGACATACCTTTAACAACTGTGTTTGAGATAATTCCCCCCAGTCTTCCCTCAGAGGTGTGCAATTGTAAAATGGCTCAGTTTTGTATTTTGTAGTGAATATTAAGGCAGTTAGACCTTCTCGTCTGCTCCCCCGCATGCCGACAGCATATCACCTTTTTCTACCAAACTAATGGTTCAGTTGCTTACCTGTCATTTTTTCCAAATCTTTAAAATGATAGGCTTGCTTAAAGTAGAACAAAACTTTTGTTCTATTTTAAGCAATCCTATCATTTTAATGATGAAATGTTTGACAACTGAGATATTTATCAGACAGGTTTGAAGTTTGTCTTTCTCCTTTGAAACGTCGTTAGGTTACAAGCTGACAAACTAAGGATTATTAAAGACCATTGACGGCCGGATTCTTTCAAGTAATTCATGAGGAACTTGACATACTGGAGTGCTTTCCTTGAATTATTTTTCCAGAAAAGAACATGACTGAAACTTAATATGGAAAACGAAATGTTGCAGTTTCAAAGAATATTAAGATGCTTTTGTACTTTTGAGTTTTTGTGAAAATAATTTTTCGAAGCTACTGATTGGAATGAGTATCAGTATTTAATGGAACTAATTACATGATATACTAGCCTGCGTGGCAGGTGCTTGGAAGTAGTGGGCGTTCTTTCTCGCGCCCAGTACTTCCAAGCGCCTGCTTCGCGGGCTAATGATTTAGTGATGATAATAGCCGTTTTAACACTAGAGGCGGATAAGCCTTCTCCAAATTCCGTCAAAATTGACGGAAGAACAGAGGGATAAGTCAGGCGGGTTGTCCGTCCAAAATTAAGACCGTTCTATTACCTGTCGAATTATCCAACGGATAACGACGGACAATCCGTCTCAGTGTGAATACGGCCAATGAGCGAATGCAATCAACCACCACAGCTTCGACAAAACATATCTGAATAGGGAGATTTATGATTAGCTATTATTATTGGAAAAATTTCCGTATAACGATCTATAACACCACCCCATGCATTAATTATGCATACACCTATTGAAGGAAAACAAAAGTCAGAATAATACTAAGCCTTTAGGATTTCAACTGTTATTTTAAAAATGTTCAATTTTTTTTCAAGTCTAAAATAAGAACTTTTTGAAACAAATTTCAAATTATTTTCGATTTCCTAAACCTAACTTTAAAAATGACCCCGAAAATAGTGATAAAGGATGTAGCGTTCAACATTAAATTTGCAAAACTATCCATTGATCGTAACACGAGGATAAACAACTTGAAGTGCAAGTTCAACTTATTAGCTGTGTTCGTCAGAAATGTCTTTTTTTCTCGAAATATTGTTGCCACGGTTTCCAGTGGCCGATTGTCAGTTAAACTTGTTGAAGAAAAGATTTCTCAACAGGTTTCTGAAGTAATTATTCCTTTTCTTCTAAAATGCTCTTTTCCAATACTGTTTCGCTAAAATGGATGCTTCTTGTGACATTGGTTGCAGTAAGCATAAAAAATCAGACCCTACCCCCCCTTCCTTGATGGCTTATCGGTCATTTCGAAGCAAGCCGTCTCGATACAAGTTGATTCAGTCCAGGTGTAAATAATATCGCATAGTTGGCTTATAGAACGAGGAATATTCACGATATGTTTTCCTTGTTCAGTCACGCGCTAACAAAACTTTCAAGGGATCGAAATTGTTCTGCAGGTTCGTATCGAAACGACTGGTTTTCCCTTGAGAAGTGCTCCAAAAATTCATTGTAGCTGTGTTTGGTATTGTGCGATATATTGCAATGCGTTGCTAGCTTCACACACACACACACCACTGGTAGCCATGCCAAGCCGACCACTGCAGCTTGACCTTTATTCCAAATTCATAAAACTGTACCCATAACACACCCCTATAAAGGTGGGACACTAACAAAATTACAAAGTTACACATTACATTTTTACCCTACAAACCTGAAATCTTAGGGCGGGTGGGTGGGTGGGAAGGTCAGTAATGGAGGACGCAACAAAAGCAACTGCCCGCCTTTTAGTCACATGACCTAAACTCAGGCCCCCAGCGGTGTGTGAGGAAAACATTTTCCACATATTTCGTCACACTCGGCCAGTGTAAAATTACCCGTCTAACAGCTTTTAAGGACGATATTAAGTACCAGTATCTTATTTATTATTACGGTTGGAAGGAGCCGATGAAAAGAACCTAACAGTCTGAAAATGAAAATACTGTCATGGTATGTTGTTGCATTTCAAGCATATTGTCAACCAAAACTGCAAGCGAAGACAAAATTCAAGGGTTTAATTTTAAAGAAACATGAAAAAAAAAAAAAACAGCTCGTACGTTGCAGGAAATACCACACTCACAATGGCTATGTGCTAGTTTATTGGGTATAAAAGTGATCTTTACATATAAAGATTCCCTTGTAGATGGACACACGCGACACCCTTGTAAGCGACCTTACTTGAATGCAAAAACTAAAGCAGAAAACAGGTGGGAAAAGCCTTGCCTGCTTTTTCTTTCTATTACCTTAGTGAAAACAAACCACCTAAGAAACCGCCTAATTATCTAAAAGCCTTCGTGACATTATTTTCTAAAACTTCTTAGTGTTAAATAAAGATGAAGTTTTCATTTATTTATTCAGCTGTAACATGAAAACATAAGATGTGTCACGGCAGTCTTTCCGGCCAGTGATTCAGTTCTTCCTTTTCTTAGATTCCTGCAATTAAATTAGCTTTTATTAAGTGATGTTGAGGAATTTTCATTTCAGCTTGTTTCATCTGCTTTTATTCCTTATTCACCATTGGCAGTATTAATAACACAGAGGGACTAACAAAATACCAAAGAATTGAGAAAAAGGACACGTATGTTTTCATGAAAGATTTCCTATAATTTTGCCACTCTAAGAGAGTAACTGGCCGAACTTAATGATCAGATTAATAACTTGCCCAATTCCGCACTAAAAAAAAATAACTTTCAGGGATAATGAAAAAAAAATTCAAATGGAACAGAACGTGGTTAAGAGGTAGAAGTCGAACCAGTTGGTTATTTTACTAGTGTAGTGGAGTATTTGTACTCAGGACTACCGAGAACAAATCCAGCTACAATGGCAGTCAGGCTAAGACTTGAACCAGGGACCTCCAGATTCCAACTCCAGCGCTCTAAACGCTCACTCACACTACGTGTACCTCCTCTACTACCCTAATCATTACTTGCATAGGTCCTTATCTTAACTCTCTCCCAATGGAAGGTCAGTAGAAATCGTGAATAGCGGCAGAGTCTCTAGAATGAACATTTCAATTGCAACGTTTGACCGAAAGTTCTTGAGGTTGAAGGGGAGGTCTTGGACTCAAAATAATGTATGTGTGCATAGTTAGTACTATGGTGTTAGGGACATACTATAGATCATGGTTTGTACAAAAAATGCCAATGAAAATTCAAGCACTTTTCAAAGGTTCTATAGAATGACAAAGAAACACATGCAATGAAAAATGAGGAAAAAACAACTGCCCTTTTACTACAAGGCACATGGTGGGGTACTCTGGGGTACCTTTATTAATGTTGAAACAAGCTCAACATAAGCAATTATTAGCATTGTTCAATACGTATGTGTAATCAAATGGTGACGAGTGAAATTAGGGATTAATTTCACGAGCATACCATTTGCTGATTACCTATTAATATCATGGCTGACGAATTACGATTGCAATCGCGGATTTTTGACATGTTTATCATGGTTTTATCGCATTGATCGGGGAACTCCATGCACTCAAAAGTTTACAGCTTAAATTTGGCTTAAGTTCAGAATTTTCAGAATGTCTCGGCAAAATTCCTGTGAGAAAACTTCTTGATGTGCTCTTTGGTGCGTTAAGGTTTTCCACAGAGTCTTTTAATTCCCTGACATCTACATTCATAACATTTTAGAACCTAGAAGTTTCTCATGTAGTAGTATAAATGCTGAAATTTCACGCTAGGAGTAATTCGTCACCCATGATAAAAAAAGAAAATTTGTACAGAAGTGAAAATGAAATGTCTTAAATTTTAAGTACATGACCTTTCTTTCAAGACGTAAGATTCATATTTATTCAGGGGCTTTTCAAGGACTTTTTAAGACAGCAGCTGAAATCCAAGAGCTTTACAAGAAGGCACAAACCATGATACATGTACATGAACATTTTTTTTCTGAAACAACATTTTTGTTCAGAAGACAATGCAAACTGAAGCAGAAACATACCTTGTTTTGGGCAAGAATAATCATGATCCTGCGAAAAATCTGAATGAAGTCCAAAAACAAGTCCACGGAATGCCTTGAGGGAAAAGAAACATTTTTTCAAAATTACACCAATAAACATCAGAGATAAGGGAAAAATTCTGTTAATCTTACTATGTATAATTTGAATACTGGGTCCGGTTCTGAAAGGCCGATTAGTGGCCTAATTCAGGATTAAAATTTTGTTCTAAGTTTTGTAGTTACCTTCCTATGCTTGTTTAGGATAACATTTCATGTTATGATTACTGTACATTGTATCTGAGTAAAGGTCACTCTGCCTCGAGATCCCATTCAATCCATACTTGATGGCACCTTTCCTTTTCAAGGACTTTNTGATCGCAGCCGCTGTTGACAGCATTTGCAAGAAGCGACGAAGAAAACTTTCTCATTCACGGTGAGTTGACAGAAACAAATAAAGCTCTAGATACTTTTCTTCTCAGAATTGGGTAGTAATTTAAATTTTCGGCGTTTTCTTTTAAACCGTTGATGCTAAAGCTTACAAAACTCGATACAAAAGGATTAAAACTATCATTTGCCATGTTTGAAGATACTGTAAAGATCTAACTTTTGCGCATCCACTGTTTACGGCTTCGTGTTCACGCATGAATTCACCCGTCAATCAAACTAATCGTTTTTTAATGGTTTCCTTTCTGATTCTGTTGAGATCACTTCGTGTGAATATACTAAAACAATTATTCACCTCAGGCTCAGTTAATATTGTTGAATAATCCCCTCGACTTCGTCTCGGGGATTATTCAACAATATTAACTTCGCCTTCGGCGAATAATTGTTAATTATTAGCATTGTTCAATACGTATGTGTAATCAAATGGTGAAGAGTGAAATTAGGGAATAATTTCACGAGCATACCATTTGCTTTGGTGCGTTAAGGTTTTCCAAAGCGTCTTTTAATGCCCTGACATCTACATTCATAACATTTTAGAACCTAGAAATTTCTCATGTAGTAGTATAAATGCTGAAATTTCGCGCCAAAATTTAGGAGTAATTCGTCACCCATAATAAAAAAAGAAAATTTGCACAGAAGTGAAAATGAAATGTCTTAAATTTTAAGTACATGACCTTTCCTTCACGACGTAAGATTCATATTTATTCAGGGGCTTTTCAAGGACTTTTTACGACAGGAACTGAAATCCAAGAGCTTTACAAGAAGGTACAAACCATGATACATGTACATGAACAATTTTTTCTGGAACAACATTTTTGTTCAGACGACAATGCAAACTGAAGCAGAAACATACCTTGTTTTGGGCAAGAATAATCATGATCCTGCGAAAAATCTGAATGAAGTCCAAAAACAAGTCCACAGAATGCCTTGAGGGAAAAGAAACATTTTTTTTTAAAATTACACCAATAAACATCAGAGATAACGGAAAAATTCTGTTAGTCTTACTATGTATAATTTGAATACTGGGCCTGGTTCTGAAAGGCCGATTAGTGGCCTAATTCAGGATTAAACTTTTGTTCCAAGTTTTGTAGCTACCTTCCTGTGCTTGTTTAGGGTAACATTTCATGTTATGATTACTGTGCATTGTATCTGAGTAAAGGCCACTCTGCCTATCCACGTTCAATCCATACTTGATGGCGCCTTTCCTTTTCAAGGACTTTGCCAACCTTAAGGGTTAATTTTTCTGCTTAAGGTACACAGAGAGAAACAAACTATTAAACAATTTAATTTGCTTGTTTGGAATTGAATTAACTCATAGCACACAGCTTTAACATTTTTTCACTTTAATCTCCAAGGCAGTGCAATCTGCCACAGTCTGTGTTACCCTTGTACAGCAGGATGAGCAGGATTGGGAGCAGAGGTAATGGGTGCCATGCCCCACATCACCTATATCTTCTAGTGAATTTAATAGATTCTTTTCTTTCTTTTTTTACTTTTTCATGGTTACTGGAGTAGATTATCCATAGCTAGTAAGCACATGTCCTCTCAGGGGACTATTTTTTTCTTGTTTCTTAACACCTTCCCCCGGTGGGCACAGATTACTGTAAGTTTTTTCCACCAGCAATCTTAACTGGTAGGATTACAGTGGAACCTCGATAAAGCGAAGGCCAAGGGACTGGCAAAATAATTATGTCCACTACAACAAGGTTTCGTTATAATGAGGTTCTTTCCATATATTTTACTATCACTGGGGTTAAAAAAAATAGTTCATTATACCGAGGACTTCATAATATAGAGGTTCATTATAATATATCGAGGTTCCACTAGAAGAACACCAGCTATTACTCAACAAGCACGCAAATACATACGTAGCAGAATTAAAAAGCTATGATGGAGTTCTGGATCTTACCAGACAAAATCTTTGTCTCCTTGCTTGCGCTTGTGGACAATCAGCTGGGTGTCATACAGCACAAAGCCACAGAACAGAAGCAAACCACCATACAACTGAAGCTGTTACGAAAATACAACGCACAGGCATTACATTCACCCCTCTCATGAGCTTCCATACTGAGCATGACAATCAAATGCAGTAAAATGCAACTTATAATTTTGCACCTTTCCATAAATAGTTTGGTTATGGCTAAAAAGCCAGTTTGACCTCAGTCAAACATAGTCTAACAAGATGACTTGTCCTAATGTTTGAATTCTACAGAAAACTTTGGTAGACTAAAATAATAACACTTCACTATTGCATGTCTATGTTAGACCTGCTGGCCTCTCTGTTGGATGGACAAAGACGTGAAGAATAAATGGCAGATCCTGGAGAAACTACCTGTAAACACCAAGGGGCAGCAGCAAGAACAAAATAAAATTAATGGATCAATAAATAAGGCTCCAGGCACTGACTGACCAGTGCATTTTCTTTACCTGGAAAATGAAACGGGCTCCAATAAAAAGATTGACCAGGGACAGGCAAAACAGAATGCTCAAGCCAGACATCAACGTACCTAAACAAGAAAAAAAAGTGCAAAGTTAAAAAAAGTATGATTGATGGTTACATCTTTAGCATTACAACGCAGTAGACTCACCTCCCAGGTACAGATAAGTTCTTTGCTCAGCCCACAAGGCACTCAGAGTGAAGCAGACAAATATCAATGTTGTTGCAAAGAAAGCAGTGGGAATAATGCTGTAAATATAAAACATCAATTTATGGTCAATGCAACTTAGAAGACTTCCAATAATGATGATGAGGATGACAATGATGATAATAAAGGAGATGTTCACTTTATAGCTTGTTAAATAAACCCCATAAATGCAAACTTGCTATTTTATGCTTTCAAAGCACACATGAATTCAGAGTTTAATCTCACGTTTGTTCTTTGGCTGTTCACCACAGAAAGAAAAAAGCAATACTGGTTTTGGGTTTAATTTTATGAAACACGTTTTTTTTTTTCACTACTACATACTAGAGTCTTGAGAGTGCTGTGGACAAGATTAACATAATGTTCATGTCAATGTACTGTACTGTAACATAACAAACAGTAAATCCCAAGGACACAATCATTTCCAGTATGCTGTATACATGTACTGTAGGCAGGGCTCACAATCTCAGTAAACACTAAGAAATTAAATTATGATTATACTAACTCAATGGAACTCATTAATAAAAAACTACATCAGAAACTTACTGACCTGGGATCAATCTGGATAACAAGATCCATCAGAGGACCAAGACCCAATCCTTAAATAGAATTGTGGAGATTATTATTTTTAAGCTGTTTACCAAGCCACTTTGTACATATATCTTATCACTGACAACACACTCACTTTTACAAAATTCAAGGCAAAGTGTAAATTAAAAATCTGCATGGTTAAACACTTGGCTTTGCTTTGAGTTTCAAGGAGCAGGCAGTTTTTTTTCATGATCTTACCCACTTGACCACGTGAATTGTTGTTGTGCCTTCATTCACAAGTTTGTTTCCTGTTTGTGAATGAGTGAGAATGAGCAAAAGCTGTTCAAAAATTTTCTTCAGCTCTTCAGCCATTCAACCTCATCCAGTCAAAAGTTTCCTGCAGCTGTTCAGCCACTCACTCACCCCTTTAGATCAGCTTGTCTACTTGTTTCTCACCTGTTTGTTTGCTGTGCATTCAGCCATTCTAACGGGTACCATTGGAACATTTTCGCATGTAAGGTCACATACTCTTGTTTTTCATGTATAAAATAGCTCAAATCTCTGCTATAAAAAACACACATAGCCCACACAATTCCCTGATTTGTTCTGATGAAGGCGTTGGGCTTGAAACATATGTTACAGGTAAATTATATCAGGTTAAAATTTTTAACCTCAGTTGATTCTCATTTCCTTTGTTTCCTAGCCCTAATTCGTGAATAATTAGGGCAAGGAGACAAAGGAAATTGAGATTCAACCTAGGTTAAAAAAAGGTTAAAAATATTTTAACCTGAATTTAGTTTTGACCTGTAACACATACTTGTAACAGCTTTTCTATCTCCCTATGGTAGCCAATCTACCTTATTACACTGTACTTCAGCTGGTAAAACCAAATTTTTGTATTTCACTCCCTCACCAATACAATGCCACAGTTTCTTTAGAAACTACCCCTTTGTAACATTAACTTATACAACTAAAGTACAGGCTCCAGTTGTTCAAACATGGGACAGCACTATCCACTGCATAAAAAACCATCCAGTGAATAAGTACTAGGGAAACCGATATTGCATTATCCACTGGATAAATGATAGTGTTATCCAGCTTTTGAACAACTGGGGTCAGTACCTTACCTGTGCAAAATGCAAATCCCATGAGAAATCCTAAAAGAGCAAAAGCAAAAGGTGTTAATACATGTTGTATTTACTTTCTCACTCCTGGGTATGCCCAAGATCAAGACCAGAAAGACTAAGTTTATTAAAATTATTTATGATTTAGTTAGCCTGCAGTGCAGGCGTATTTTGCGTGGCCGAAACCTTGCTTGTGTTCGTAATATTGTTGTAGCCGCCATCTTTGATTTTATGACAGTGTAAGATTGGGGAGAGTAGAAATAGTAACCCTTACGGTAGGTGCGAGGGCGAAAGAAGGAAAGAGGGGAGGGGGAGGGGAGAAAAAAAATACGCCTGCCCAATATCATTGTTCTTTTGGGAAACTCCGACGCTGGCAAACGGAGGCCCTGATTGGTGCGGCATAGGGAAGTAGATTGATGCCTGTCAGTAAGTCTATATTGTTTATTCCGTTTCCGTCAGTCTTTTGGAATTACGCAATGAGAAAGTCAAAGCGATTTCTACACTGGTCATCAGGACAAGATTTGCTCGCATTACTGAAACCTACACCACTTCTACCTCATGCCAAAATGCTGCTTGTTCCAATACGTTTTTTTTTTTCTGGCGAGTAGATTATGCACTAGATGGTTCTATGTTTTGACTGAGCAAGTGATTTTAGCCGCTTGTTTCACACTGAGAGGTCATGACACGCTTATTGATTTTCTGTGGTTTTTGAATTTCTGGTCTACATGATTTGCCCTCTGCTGCAAGAGCGCTTTCTTTGACCTCTTTTGAAACATAAAGCTCTTTTTGTCGCTAAATTAGGCTGCTAGGTTCTTTATTTTTGTCCAAAGTGCCTCAGGATCTGACTAATTAAGCGATTTTCTTTCTAGTCCGGGAGTGATGTCTTCCTGCAATGTTGTATCCTGTGTATCACGCTAAGCCCAGCTCGTTAGTTTTTTAAATTGTTTGCAGGATGTTAAACTCTCAGGGATAGTGATTTACAGTGAGTTCTGGATCTTACCAGACAAAATCTTTGTCTCCTTGCTTGCGCTTGTGGACAATCAGCTGGGTGTCATACAGCACAAAGCCACAGAACAGAAGCAAACCACCATACAACTGAAGCTGTTACGAAAATACAACGCACAGGCATTACATTCACCCCTCTCATGAGCTTCCATACTGAGCATGACAATCAAATGCAGTAAAATGCAACTTATAATTTTGCACCTTTCCATAAATAGTTTGGTTATGGCTAAAAAGCCAGTTTGACCTCAGTCAAACATAGTCTAACAAGATGACTTGTCCTAATGTTTGAATTCTACAGAAAACTTTGGTAGACTAAAATAATAACACTTCACTATTGCATGTCTATGTTAGACCTGCTGGCCTCTCTGTTGGATGGACAAAGACGTGAAGAATAAATGGCAGATCCTGGAGAAACTACCTGTAAACACCAAGGGGCAGCAGCAAGAACAAAATAAAATTAATGGATCAATAAATAAGGCTCCAGGCACTGACTGACCAGTGCATTTTCTTTACCTGGAAAATGAAACGGGCTCCAATAAAAAGATTGACCAGGGACAGGCAAAACAGAATGCTCAAGCCAGACATCAACGTACCTAAACAAGAAAAAAAAGTGCAAAGTTAAAAAAAGTATGATTGATGGTTACATCTTTAGCATTACAACGCAGTAGACTCACCTCCCAGGTACAGATAAGTTCTTTGCTCAGCCCACAAGGCACTCAGAGTGAAGCAGACAAATATCAATGTTGTTGCAAAGAAAGCAGTGGGAATAATGCTGTAAATATAAAACATCAATTTATGGTCAATGCAACTTAGAAGACTTCCAATAATGATGATGAGGATGACAATGATGATAATAAAGGAGATGTTCACTTTATAGCTTGTTAAATAAACCCCATAAATGCAAACTTGCTATTTTATGCTTTCAAAGCACACATGAATTCAGAGTTTAATCTCACGTTTGTTCTTTGGCTGTTCACCACAGAAAGAAAAAAGCAATACTGGTTTTGGGTTTAATTTTATGAAACACGTTTTTTTTTTTCACTACTACATACTAGAGTCTTGAGAGTGCTGTGGACAAGATTAACATAATGTTCATGTCAATGTACTGTACTGTAACATAACAAACAGTAAATCCCAAGGACACAATCATTTCCAGTATGCTGTATACATGTACTGTAGGCAGGGCTCACAATCTCAGTAAACACTAAGAAATTAAATTATGATTATACTAACTCAATGGAACTCATTAATAAAAAACTACATCAGAAACTTACTGACCTGGGATCAATCTGGATAACAAGATCCATCAGAGGACCAAGACCCAATCCTTAAATAGAATTGTGGAGATTATTATTTTTAAGCTGTTTACCAAGCCACTTTGTACATATATCTTATCACTGACAACACACTCACTTTTACAAAATTCAAGGCAAAGTGTAAATTAAAAATCTGCATGGTTAAACACTTGGCTTTGCTTTGAGTTTCAAGGAGCAGGCAGTTTTTTTTCATGATCTTACCCACTTGACCACGTGAATTGTTGTTGTGCCTTCATTCACAAGTTTGTTTCCTGTTTGTGAATGAGTGAGAATGAGCAAAAGCTGTTCAAAAATTTTCTTCAGCTCTTCAGCCATTCAACCTCATCCAGTCAAAAGTTTCCTGCAGCTGTTCAGCCACTCACTCACCCCTTTAGATCAGCTTGTCTACTTGTTTCTCACCTGTTTGTTTGCTGTGCATTCAGCCATTCTAACGGGTACCATTGGAACATTTTCGCATGTAAGGTCACATACTCTTGTTTTTCATGTATAAAATAGCTCAAATCTCTGCTATAAAAAACACACATAGCCCACACAATTCCCTGATTTGTTCTGATGAAGGCGTTGGGCTTGAAACATATGTTACAGGTAAATTATATCAGGTTAAAATTTTTAACCTCAGTTGATTCTCATTTCCTTTGTTTCCTAGCCCTAATTCGTGAATAATTAGGGCAAGGAGACAAAGGAAATTGAGATTCAACCTAGGTTAAAAAAAGGTTAAAAATATTTTAACCTGAATTTAGTTTTGACCTGTAACACATACTTGTAACAGCTTTTCTATCTCCCTATGGTAGCCAATCTACCTTATTACACTGTACTTCAGCTGGTAAAACCAAATTTTTGTATTTCACTCCCTCACCAATACAATGCCACAGTTTCTTTAGAAACTACCCCTTTGTAACATTAACTTATACAACTAAAGTACAGGCTCCAGTTGTTCAAACATGGGACAGCACTATCCACTGCATAAAAAACCATCCAGTGAATAAGTACTAGGGAAACCGATATTGCATTATCCACTGGATAAATGATAGTGTTATCCAGCTTTTGAACAACTGGGGTCAGTACCTTACCTGTGCAAAATGCAAATCCCATGAGAAATCCTAAAAGAGCAAAAGCAAAAGGTGTTAATACATGTTGTATTTCCTTTTTCACTCCTGGGTATGCCCAAGATCAAGACCAGAAAGACTAAGTTTATTAAAATTATTTATGATTTAGTTAGCCTGCAGTGCAGGCGTATTTTGCGTGGCCGAAACCTTGCTTGTGTTCGTAATATTGTTGTAGCCGCCATCTTTGATTTTATGACAGTGTAAGATTGGGGAGAGTAGAAATAGTAACCCTTACGGTAGGTGCGAGGGCGAAAGAAGGAAAGAGGGGAGGGGGAGGGGAGAAAAAAAATACGCCTGCCCAATATCATTGTTCTTTTGGGAAACTCCGACGCTGGCAAACGGAGGCCCTGATTGGTGCGGCATAGGGAAGTAGATTGATGCCTGTCAGTAAGTCTATATTGTTTATTCCGTTTCCGTCAGTCTTTTGGAATTACGCAATGAGAAAGTCAAAGCGATTTCTACACTGGTCATCAGGACAAGATTTGCTCGCATTACTGAAACCTACACCACTTCTACCTCATGCCAAAATGCTGCTTGTTCCAATACGTTTTTTTTTTTCTGGCGAGTAGATTATGCACTAGATGGTTCTATGTTTTGACTGAGCAAGTGATTTTAGCCGCTTGTTTCACACTGAGAGGTCATGACACGCTTATTGATTTTCTGTGGTTTTTGAATTTCTGGTCTACATGATTTGCCCTCTGCTGCAAGAGCGCTTTCTTTGACCTCTTTTGAAATATAAAGCTCTTTTTGTCGCTAAATTAGGCTGCTAGGTTCTTTATTTTTGTCCAAAGTGCCTCAGGATCTGACTAATTAAGCGATTTTCTTTCTAGTCCGGGAGTGATGTCTTCCTGCAATGTTGTATCCTGTGTATCACGCTAAGCCCAGCTCGTTAGTTTTTTAAATTGTTTGCAGGATGTTAAACTCTCAGGGATAGTGATTTACAGAGATGACTTTAGAAGAATGAATTGCAGCTTAAACTGAAGCTTCATCAGCTCTGGAGAATTGCATTGTGACTCAGTCAAGACAAAAACAATGATAAACTCGAGCTTGTTTTTCTTAAGACAACGAGAGTCTTTGGACTGGAGCGACTGTTTGGTTGTTTTGTTATTGTCGGCAACTCATTTCCGGTAGAGCGGTCACGCGCGTCTAATCAGGGGGTGTTTCTCATTTTCAGTGTTTTCGGGCAGGTGTTTTCTCTTCTCTCTCTCCGCCCCCTCCCCGCTCCCTTTGACTCGCCCCATCTCCTCCTCTCTTTGGGAAGTTTCAACATGGCGCTTTCACTAGCAAATTGCGTGCTCAAAGAAAACGCCTGCACTGCAGGCTATGATTTAGTAGGTAAAAAGGTATTGTAGGGCTGTTTATTCAGAGCCTGCAGTTGATCTGGGGAGCACATTATTACTTAACCTGTTTATTGCCAATAGTGCCAACAGTTAAAATCCAGAAACAAAAACTACATAAGTGGCATTTACATGTACTTAAAACGAGTGGTATAATACCTAAGTACCGCTGGAGTGGATCTTATTATGGTTAGATCACAATTATCAGTCTTTCTCAGACTCAAAACAACATTATCAAACTTTCTCTTGTCAATGGACTTAAAGTAGAAGTATATGAGAGTATCATCAGGCTCCCTCATAAATTTGATTTTTTTTGAGATGAGGTGTGTAAAAGTAAGTAGTCTAAGTGAGATCTTTTGGCTGGAAAAAAATACTTTTTGTGACAAACCAAATAATCACTTACCCATTCTTTTTGACTGATTTTTTCCATCATGTGGAGTCACAGCAAGAGCAATCAGAAGCCCAATGGATGCAATGGCAGACAAAAAACCACCCTTCAAAACCAAAATTTCTATCAATACACATACTTTGTACATGAATGCTGCAGATGCAAACTCTGCTCTTTGCCTATGACAAGAAAAAGTATAGAGTGCAGAGATCTGAAAATTGCATGAGGTAATTTAATTCATTATAACATAACAAAAGTAATTCGCGCGCTCTGATTGGTCAGTTAGCCACTACCATTTGCCCATGAGTGCATGCCAAGAAACTGAGCTAGTGAAGTAAAATTTAAGCAAATTCAACAAATCTCCTCTCCTAATGGTAAAATACACCGGTGAAATGCACAGATGAAAAGTGGAAGTTGAAGAAAATACTAAGCTGTCATTTTGAAGGAAAAAAGACAAAAGATCAAGCAACAAATTTGCCCTGGATGAATTAATCACTGTTTTCCTCGCGGCTAGAATCGGCTGAAGGAAAATCGAGCGAGCGAAGATTTAAGGTAAATTTTGTGTGTTTTTTTATAGAAGAGAAAGTCTGTTTGAAATGTAAATTTATCAATTAGCATTGTGCTATTGACTTTTTGGTCAAGCTGATGCTAAAGTCAAGCAAATATTTTAAGAAACACGCTCAAATTCGAGACAGCTTTGTTGTGAAGTTTTCATCACATCGAATAAAAATTTTAGTTGAGTTTAAACGGGCACATTACGGTGGAAAAAGCAAATTTCATTTGAGTACAGAAACATTTGGGTTTTCAAATAAATTTTTCAAACAGTAATTTCTGTGTGTATTATTTTGTTCTTCAGTGTTCATTCATAACAGTCGTTCAGAGAACGGTTGAAAACCAACAGCTTCAGCGCCGGCTGTGTGTCAGCAAATTTCAGTTGCTTTCAGTTCACTTTCATAGCTTGATTTCCCCAGACAGATTTCGATACAAAGCTTTTTAAAATTAGTGTTACCTGTTATTCTAAAGGAATTACAGTCAAATTTTCGCATTTCTACTTTACGTTTATTTCAAGAATTGTCACATAAATAAGCTTGATAATTATTTCATTCATTTAGTTTTAGCAGAAACTCATAAGGGGTTGTTCATAAAAGAAATAGTAAACGTTGCAGCTGTGCAACCATGGAGTTATGGATGCACTTGGGAGGTTTGCTAAGCACTCAAGAAGCTAGAGTCGACTCTTATGCTTCTTTCGTGCTTAGCAACCTCCCGCGTGCATCCATAACTCCACGGTTGCACGCTGCACGTTTACCATGTCTTAATTTTACTTACAATGGTACTTGACTAAATGTTATTTCTCAGCTTTACTGCCAAAGACCTACAGTGCACCCAGAGGGGATAGCAACAAAATAATGGATCCAATGCCTGGTGCCACGCCTACCCATTCCCCCAACCCATCAAAGATACATGTACATGTACATGTACACGTAAAAACTGCCAGAGATTAGTACATTCCTAGTGGTTCTTCCACAATCTACAGATGCAAAAACTGTGAAAAGTGCTAGCTGTTGTTGTTGTTTTTTCGTACAGCACTCTAGCTAGCCTGTTCCAGCCACTCACATATTGGGGAGCAGAGTGAATTGAAAAACAGAGTGAAAAGAAATGAAAGGAAAGCAAGGAAAATGGTGAGTAAATAACAGAGAAAGAGACAGAGAATGCCTGTAGTCAGGATGATGCAGTCATTTCATGAGCTATTCAGTGCTCCAGTTAATTCTTTCAAGCGAGGGGTCATGAAGACAATCTGAGGGTCACTAAGACCCATGCTTATTTTTGTCTTCATAATATTTAACTTAACATTATTTTATACCTTATTTGTGTTGGGTCAGGAAGCCTTCTTAGTCAGGTCATTGACCTGAGACCCATCTCTTATCTGGAACACTGGTTATTGAAGGCCCTCAAATGGCACTTGATCGCTCACTCACTTGACTCCCATTAATTTATTCATTAAACTTGCATGAAACATTTCACTCCTACCTCCCCTACTAAGTATTGCTTTTGTTCCAAGTGCTCCATGCACATATGTTTGAAGTACTAGTACATATTTTGCCCGATAAAATGGAGTTGATGAGACCGATTGAGTGTAAAAGAGCCATTGCGTTACAATCGCAGCGTGAAGATGGGAGTTAGTTCAGTGAAAAGCTAATACAGTGTAAGCCAAAGAACCCTAAGTGCCTTCTCTCCCAAAATGTGACAACAAATTTCTCTCTGATGTTATTTCAATTCTCTCCCTTAGTGTGAAAAGTCACTCCTTGGAAAGATGGAAGTGTTTATATTATTTTGTAGCTCTCCCAGTCAAATAGAAACATATTCACCTGGATAGTAAGAAGACCTTTGAATGCAATATCAGACAGAAAGAAAATTAAAACTTTATTTGCTTTGCACGTTTTAAGAACAGAAAATTACTGCTATATGTGACCCTCCACGGGAAAACGTACACTAACGACCTTCCGTTAAACGTTAGAAAACTAACGGATACTTAATGGATTGCTAACGGCTCTGAAGTCATTCTAATGCTTTGTACTAACGTTCTAACGCTCGGCCCTGGCCTTCTAACGGTTTGTCTTAACGCTCTAACGGGTTGTCCTAACGGTCCAACGGTCCGCTCTAACGCTCCAACGGTTTACGTTAACGTTCTAACGGTTTATACTAAAGTTCTAGTGACTGATCACCACTAAAGTCTTAATTCTATAAAATAAACGGATCATAAGTTGTGAATGATGTATAATAATGAAATAACACATGAACTGCGGAAATTGAATCAGAATGAAATGAATCGAATCGGTCACGTATTATCTCTTGCCTTTTAGCGAAGTCTTTAGTTTAACGGTCGATCAAAGAAAGAAAGCGTGATTTTGCAACGGCTAAAACTGATAATAACATTCAATTCTCCATTCCTCTTTGTTTTCTACGTGACATTGGCAATTGTCCCTAACGAAACAAGCCGAAAAACGGAGTCGTAATCGAGCGAAAAAGCGGCACCAGACCACCATCAATAAACAACTTAGCCTGTTCCAGGCTCCGAGATGGTGGTGGAAAGTCGTTCAGTAATAAGAAATGCGAAAAACGCGCGAGTGCCTGGCACAGGCTATAAACAACTGCGGCCGACAGTCAAAAGCGTCTCTTGTTGAGAATCCGCTTACCAACTACAGCGAATGTCTGGCAGGTTATCTCAATCCATCTTAGTTATCTTATTCCAAAAATGCATCAGTGGAACTTTGAGTTTGGTGGAAAATTAAAATAATATTAGTCGACTCTCGCTCACTGACATTCGAACTAAACAACTTTATGGAAATTTTTGTTGACATTTGATCCACCGGGAATGAAGAGCAGCGGAAGCGTTGCGTGACGACCCAAGGAAGTGCGTTCGAAATTCAAGGAAGGGAAGGGGGTCGGGAATGACATATGTTTATACCGCTTCTCAAAATAGCATTACAATATTCTCTTTCAAAACGGATGGTTTATTTACAGATTGTTTAGTTATAGTTTCTTTTAAAAACTGTAACTAATGCTATTGTAGTCTAATGCTCTGACAAGGGTATAGCGCGTCCGGCGAAGCACGGCAATTTATTTTGCGAGAGTCTTCTATGCAAATTTAATACTTTTGCGGCTTTTTGCTGCTGGGTCTGTAGCGCTTGATAGAGGATTTACAGTATTTTACTTCCAAACAAGAACAAGGGGAAAAGATGGCTCAAATGCACTTTACTAATCTAGAAAAAAGAAAAAAAAAACTAGACGCGCCGCTAGCACCGGCACCACAGCTAGGAATCGAACTGGGAAGCGAGGATTCGCAAATTAAATACATAACCAGTGCGCCACGAAAGTCACACATAATCCAACTCTATTTTTTTCTCTTCAAAATAACTTTTTCCAGCACGCGGCTGTGTATCGATCACACAACGTTTATCTAAATTTATTGTCAAAAAAAAACTATTTATCTCCGGTTGATTGACACTTCATGTTCACATACTTTATGCAAATTTCTTTGATAAGCTGAGAACTGAAGTCAGCATATCAAAGTATTCGAACCGCTTTATGGGTTAACTTAAGGAACGGAATTATGCAGTGGGGGGCGTTGAAGAGAATATGGTAGGAAGCCGTTCGAACAGCTTGGGTGATAATTCTCCATTCAAAAAATTTGTTCATTTGCCGTTTCAATCGACTTGGTGCGCCTTGTAGAACCAGGGATACCACATTCTTTTTTCTCGTGACGCCACAAATTCACGCTCGGCAACACATGCCAAATAAACAATTACTCATAATGTTAGTTGTCGCTAAGTTTTCTAACGAGTAAAGATCATCAGACTAACGGATTGACTAAGGAACGGATACGGCTAACGCTCTAACGGGCAAGGATCGGGTGCTAACGGATTAACCAACGCCACTAACGGATATGATTAACGCTCTGACGGGCAAGAGTCACCAGCTAACGGATTCACCAACGCTACTAACGGTTTTCATCAATTTTTCTAACGGATGACTAACGGATAGCTAACGGTTTAGCCCGTTTAACGGAAGGTCGTTAGTGTACGTTTTCCCGTGGAGGGTCACATATAACAGCATTTTAAAATTGCCAAAAGTTTCCCTGTCACATTTCATAAGTGCAGAATGAAAACAATAATTTTTTGCAATTTCCGGTTAGATCAAACTGGTCTCGTTATTGGCTAGCTTGCCTATTTTTGTTCACTAGTAGAAGTTACTAAACAGCCCTGACTGTAAAAGTCATGTACACCGGCGAACCAATGCACCCCATTGTTGGGGTCTTGTTGACTATTGAACTGACTTTTCTACACTGATCCAATTCATCCACGAGAAGGCTCACAGGAGCCTTTGATCTATTTCTGTTAAGAATTTTATTGTTAGTTCATTAATAATAACTTGACAGTGAACAACAAATGAAAAAGTTGTCAACATTTTTCTTCAGTAGTCATGACAACTGCCAAACTGCAAAACCTTTGCACAACAAGGTTGCATTTGTACTTCTAGAACGTTATTAGAGAGCAGTGAAAAAGCTGGTTTGTCCCAATTAACTTATGAAATAACTAGATCATTGGGATACCACAAACAAAAATGGAAATTTTATTTGTGGTTTTGCAGATTGCTGCTGTGTCCTGATCTCCAAATTGATTTGTTATAACAGGACTGACATTCCCAATATATTCAAGCAATCATGGTTTCCTCTATGTACAAGTAACTGTAAAATAAAATATACCTTCAAAATATCTGTAAAAAGGTGGACTCCACTTCCAAATGCTGCAGCTAACATTGACAAAGACAAGCAGGCATACACATTCCTAAGATGACTTCGTGTTGATTGATCACTGCAAATAGGAAACCTCACCATCAATAATAGATTATCTCAAACCAGTGGTTTCAAGATGCAGAGCTGCGCCCAGGCAGACATAATGTCTTACTTTTTACAATTTGAAAACATTGCAGCCCTAAGAGTTTCATCAGCCAATAAGAGCAGACTGAATCTTTAAATAATAAGAATTCTCCCTTTTTCCAAAACTTGAAAGATGGTCTTTCTGTGGGGTAACTAAATGCTAACAAAAGAAAAAATGCAGAAATGTGTGCGGGTACAGTTTTATAATAGTATTCTTATTTGTAAGCAATTAGGTTCACACATGAAATGACAATGCTGTACTACCTAACATTGTAAACAAGTACTTTTTAGGAACTTTATACCACTACATGAAAGTCAACTTCCCACCATTTTTACCTTGCTTTTTACTTTTGTTTACACCTTTTATTAAAAGCTAACCACATTTATTTACTACTACTATATTCTAAATAATTACACGGCTAGCAAAGGTTTATTTCTTCTCTTCCCGCAGCGTTCCTGTTTCGACTTTGTTTTGAGCAGTTCTCAAGTTAACTATGGGCGAAACAAACCCTAACCGAAGTAGATTTAATTTATTTCACGTTTAAGCTTCCAATATCATCTCACGAGATCAGACAGTGATAGTTCGTAAGATCTTGAACATACATTATATCCTAAAATATTCAAAATCATATCGTTTCCTGAAGCAACAACTATAGTAAATTAAATTTTAATTTTTAAAGCCTAAATTTCAAAACGAAAGCGGAATGACATATTTCGCCACCTGCCCCTACAGCTCCAATGTGTCGGGTTTATCACCGACATTTTGTGTAACAAAGCCTACTAGTATCTCAACCGCTTTAAAACTACGAAAAGCATTCGAACTTATACAAGTCTTGTTGACGAAATAAAGTTAATTTGAAACACTTGCTCAGACATTGTAAGCTTACGTTATAACACTCACAGTTTCGAGAAGTCTTTCAACGCCGAGATAGAAATAGGTCTACTTCCGAATAAATTTTCCATCCTGGAGTAATCACAATAACGTTTCTTCCTCTTGCTTAGTTTGTGCTATGATACCTTCTAGGCAAAACGCCTTTGAACACAAGAAAACTGTTTGTTTTATGCTGATGCAAGCTCAAGGCGGAAACAAAACAAAATGTCCACCCGCCTTGTCGACGTGCAAAGATACCATTGGCTTCGTAAACTGCTTCGTAAGCAATCGGTGAGACCGAAGTTACCCGATAGCAGCCTCGTACCCCATCCTCGGAGACCCAGGGGCAGTTAGTCGGGTCGATAAAATGTTCGTGGTGAAAGTTTACTGTAAGATCGAGACGAGCCCCTGGGCACTTACTCTTACCGAACCAGTTCCAGAAGCGTTTGAATTGCCTGCTTCTGATTGGCCAGAAAAAATTTTTTCTGGCCAATCAGCGAAGAGAAGCTGCCGGGTGACTCTCGTGTTTTCTTACACGACGTAGTTTTCCTCATCGATTGCCATAGTTGCGTAGCGCGTTCAACGGGGAAAGTTTCTCGACGAANCACATTATTCATGTGACTTTTGAGGGAAAGGTTAAGTGATTTTAGAGAAAAGTAATTTGCAAACAGTCCAAGCTAAGAGTGAACTTAATCTTACATCGAGTTGATAGCCTTATATGTACACCCAAAAAATAGCAATCATCTTCGATCACATTTAAGAGCGCGGGCTCTTGATCACAGTAGATTAGGCCTGGAAAACAAATCAGGCCGAATTTTTTGCGTTCGCAAGTTTACTTTACAAAATCTTGCCAACAAGTCTGGGGACGTGTAACCCAACCTTTTATACTTTTTATACATCACATCTAAGGTGCAACAGTACCATGAGGCGCTGACAGAATGCAGTATTTCACAATTTTGCAATACAAATTGCACTCACTCAATATTCAGGACGATCGAAGCACGTGTGGGCTTTTAGCGAAACCGTTTATAAAAACATTTCCAAAATTACCTATACGGCTAGCCGGTTCTCACTTTTGACATGCGCCAATGTCGACTGTTTAAATTGTGATTAATAGAGTTATACGCTTCAACACAATAAAGAATTTATTATGTTTATTTTTTATTTAATGGTTTTATAACGATGTGCGTCAAATAATCGTCAAAAGCGTTTGATACGCGCGGCATTTTGACTACTCCTGGATGCAAGTGATGTTCATGAGCGACTGAAAACAAACGGAACAGCGATAAAAATTGAATTGCAAAAGAGACTACTGTAACAATCAATAAAAGGAAAATAATTCGGTGAAACATATACAGAGACAACAATTTTCATTCACGAAGACACATATTAAAGTGTCTCTGAAAATTCTTGTTTATGTTTTTCATTTTGTAAGCCGGCTTCCCGGTGTTTGCTTTTTCAAAGATGAACTCGAGGCAAGAAAATCGCTCAAAGCTTTCTTTTACAGCCAGAATTATAAACAAATATTCTTTGGAACGTTTTCTTTCTATTTGCGGTGAGAAAATGTCTAAAGGCTTTTTAAAGTTCTATAAGCTTATAATCAAACCTGATACTCGGTCAGATCATTGTCTCAAATCTTACAATTAAAAACGTGCATAAACTAAAAAGCCCCATAAACTACGCTCGACTTCATTAAATTAGATATAAAAAACAAACGTCAAATACAATAATTACTCAGGCTTACCATTCGAGATGCACTGAAAACTATCAAGTAAGGCCAGAATCGCTTCAGACTTTTCAACCCTCTTACGCATCAAGCAAGGTGAAAAACGAAAACGATGCCATCCGAAATCGGATTTCCGACTTTGACAAGCGACGTATTTCTCAACCAAAAACCCAATAAACAAACTAGCCATGAATAACAGAAGACTCTCGATAGCAGCTGAATTTCATTTTGTAAATTCAGTGGAAAAAGACAGTTAAAAACATCACAAGTTGACACAAAACTCTGTCAGCTTCAGCAAAGTAAGCAAGTTTCAAGATGCTGCATAAATTTTCCGCATGAACTCACCTGTCAAATTTTGACCAATCAGAGCATAAAAATTGGACGTAGAGCGTGACCAACGCGTGACCTTGGTGAGAAAAGTCAAAAGCAACTGGCATGTCTTCCCTGCCTGTAAAAACTGGCTGAATTTTAGCTTCCGAGGTCAGTTTGAAATCAACATTTTAATTGTGCGGCACATACAAAACACAACATATTTCATATGAATTTAAAAAAAATTAACTTGAGCCTCCGATCATTTGAAAACTAGTAACTTGTCAGCGGATAACTTTAAAAAGATATCTACCTCGATGGGTCGACACCTGAACCCGCGATACGGTCGGGTGATACTGGTCAGCGGATACCCTGTTTTGACAGCTGTCAATTGATCACAACTTTGATGTGCAATATATGTGTGCAATATCAGTCTTCCTGTGCTCCCAAACTGGCTAGAAAGTGTGAGGATTAAACACTGGTTTCCCTGTGGTGCGGACGGACGGGCGGGCGGGCGGGCGGGCGGTATACGGTCACGTGATTACCAAATTTTCTGGGATGGGTAGATTTACTTACCAATGGTGTTCCGCAGGCGCGCTTCGCGCCCCAGAGCTCCGCTATCACTTCATCAACCATCATATTTGTAGCCTGCGTAGGTGGCGGAATTGTTTTTGCACGTGTGAGAGTTTGGCAGAATTATTTTTTCGTGTGTGAGAGGTTTGACGGTGGGCTCGAGAGGGCCGCGGCACCTGGTTTTTTTTCTGAAATTGTGCTAAAATTGTAAAGAATTGTCATGAAAATATCTATTCTATAGAATTTAATTTTTGGACACAGTCGCTCTCAGAGTAGATTGTACAATATGAACTAAAAAAGAACAAGCATACAGATTGAGACTCGAACATTTCTGTGACTCTCACATTTACAAGTGTCGGAGCCAAGCTGAGAAGTACGCGGCTTTGAAGATCTTTGCCGTAGTTTTCTCATTCTCTTAAAATGACATGAACTCTTTGTTTAAAATAGAAACAAAAGGTTAAGCTATTGCCAGTCAACTAAAATTTTTTGTGAGCCATGAAAAGGACCATTCCTAATAAAAGACATAACAGTTTATTTGAATAGAATCCTCGTGAAAAGCAAAACTGGCAGAAACGGGAACGTAAAAAGTCAAAGTAGCCGCGAAATAAGAAACACAACCGTTATTAGTGAGTTTAGCACGTTCCTCAAATTATCAAATCTAAGGAGTAAGATTTTTTAACGGTTAACTCTTTTTACCCTATTTACGGCGAACGGTTAAAATTTTTCAATTTTTACGGCTATCCACTAAATTTTGGGCCGTTTTACGCCTATCGGTTAACCTCATTGAGACCCTCCCATATGGCATGCATTGTTATCTACCAGTTTCTTGTCCAGTCTCCCTGTATTTCCTTCAGTTCCAGCCAGCTGAACTTAAAATGTTGGTAATTCCCAGCCGGTCTATGAAAATAAATATCTTGCCAGCCAGCTGAATTTCCAATGCGGAACAGATATTTTGCGGAACACCTTCGTTGGGTAACCCTGAATTTTGGCAAGGTTTAACTATAGACGAATTACACATATTGCGAAAAACAAGCTTCCCGTCTACGGAAGAACTTAGTGCATAAAAATAAGAGAGTAACTAAATTACAACTCAACAAAATGGATATAAGGCTGGCGTTAGTTTCTTACTTAGTTTTGTTTGTACTTGGTCCAGTGGATGCTCTATCGCCCTCTTCATCTTCCCTAAGCCACAACTCAAGTTATTCGGCCGTGACTCCCACCTCAAGTCTAGCGCCCTCTTCATCTTCACTAAGCCACAACTCAAGTTATTCGGCCGTGACTCCCACCTCGAGTCTATCGCCCTCTTCATCTTCACTAAGCCACAACTCAAGTTATTCGGCCGTGACTCCCATCTCGAGTCTATCGCCCTCTTCATCTTCACTAAGCCACAACTCAAGTAACTCGTCTGTGACTTCCACCTCAACTCCTGACTCCAGTCAGTCAACATCCAAACCAACAGCGTCGTCTCCAAGATGTCATCAGCTCAAGGTTTGTTGGCTCAATAGTCCACCTTACTTATTTAAAGATGCTGACACTGGAAACATTTCTGGGGCCTTCAACGAGGCAATCGAATTTTTACTTAGTAAATGTGAAAATTATTGCAACCCTAAGCCCGCTTACAAATGGTGCGAAAACTTAAGCTCCAAATTAAACTACAGTCGGCATCAAGTAGAAAATGCAAAGGAACTAACAGAATGCATGAAGATGAAGTCTGGATTTGACCTAGTGTTTCCAGTGCTTCGTTCCCATGTAATGAGCGACAACTTTCACAGACTTCGCTTCCAAGTTATAGTAAGTTCGCCGGGCATAGCTGTATTGAAGAATCGCGAAGTGTTGGCCAAAAAGGCGAGATGGAATGTGATTAAAGTGTTTTCTCAAATATGGACAGTCATAGTACTCGCTCTGCTGTTAAATGCGATATTTGGAATTCTAATTTGGGTATTGGTAAGTAGACATGTTTTGTTTTATGTAAATGAAATTTCAAACTTCTGGCCTATGCCGCTTTAGCAATAATACCAAGATCCTGTTGAACTCCAAATGTAAAACATCCAATTGTGTCCACTGTAGGCGCTTTTTGTCTTACACTAATGTAAAAGAACAAGGTGAAGTTCAGTTGGGTAATAGAATAAACAATGTAGATTCAAATTTATTTAACTGAATCTGGAGGAGAAAAAAGCTGAAGCTTTGTATGATTTATAGATCGACGAGTGAGGCGTTTGATTGACCTCATAATCGGGTTCTTCGAGAAAAAACGATAAAATGAACCACTGTAGAGAATGGATCGGGAAAAGGAAGATCAAGAATTTAAAGAGGTAATGATACCAAGTAACATATCAGCCAGTAACCCAAGTTTAAACAGCAGAGAAAGACTGCGAGAAATAGTCAAATCCAACGGCTCGTAGCTCCACGCAAGAATGGCTCGCACTTGTTATCAAAAGCTTCCTAACGCCCAAGAAAAAACGACTTTATTTTAAGGCCCTAATC